AAGAAATACTTGGGAGCTAGATAAAAGTGAACTAAGGGGACTGTAAAGAGAGGAAGCTCTTTGTGTTGAAAGAGATAAACATTGACTTTAGTTTTATCAAGGTCTGATTTAACTGCCCATTCCTGTCTCCTTCCCCATGTGCCTGCCCCCCCAAGCAATGAAAAAATTCTACTGCATTGTGGTTCTAGGTCTTCTCTGGGTTTTACATATTCTTTAACACAGGCACTAATTATATGCTGTAACTCTGACACTAATGTAACTCCATTTCTCTCCCATAATTGCATGAATGTGAATTCTCTACATTTAATGTGCTTAATTAGAAAATGAGGAGATGCAACAAACGAGGACAGGTGATAAAAACAACAGTGAACATTTCTTTCAAATTTACCTTTATCATAAAATTCACTCTGAGTGAATTTCACTCTAAGCTCTAGTGAACCACAGAAATTTTTTATAAATGTCGCTGGCACCGATCTAAGTGAATTTATTATCAGAGCAATTCATATCTGTGGAAGACTGAGAATAAGAACATTATCTTTCCTACAAACTTAAGCTTCATTGATATCTTTGGCCAGTTTAATTTGCAAAGGGTAATTATGGGTAAACTAAGTGAATGCTTTATGTGGATTTCAAAAATTCAATGTGCAACTTCTTCTTCAAAAGAGATCTTAACCTGGAAGCCAAAATATGAACAGAATAGAGCAGAGTTGTTCTAGGAGCAAAGGCATATGAGATCTGCCCTCCTCAACCCACAAAGTCTCCTAGACAGTCAGGGACAGAAAGATACAGCCTTTCAAACCACAACTGTCTTCCAGGAAGGGTGGGGCTGCAAAAGGAAACCTGGCCCTGCAGATCTTCCCCGTGTAACGGAGTGGATAGGCCTTGGGGTTACACCCCGTGTGGGAACAGGGGCCAGAAAGATAAATGATGCTGCCAGCCAGAGCAGGGAGAGTAGAGGGCAGGCTGGGATGCAAAGGGAGAAAAGAAAGGGGGAACCAGCAGGGTGGTTGAAGTGGCCCACAGAGTCAGCCCAAGTCACGGTCTCATGACTGTAATATACTCTCAAGTCCCCGAGACATCTCCCCCATGTCCAGTACAGTTGGTTACTCTCACAAAGACCTAGTAAGGCAAGAGGTTTGCAAGGATCGCAGAAACGGCCTGCGTGTCTATAGTCTGGGTGCATGTGACGTGGAAAAGAACTGCACATGTGGCACTAAGCGATGATCACTAAACTGAATTAATTCAACTGTTAAGGCAATTCAAGGAGTTAATAAGTGTAAAGTGCTTAGAACAGCATTCTGCACACAGTAAAGCCGATATGTACTTGTTAATGGAAATAAATATATAAATTCTGTATAAATTCTGTAATGCAGCCCCGGGGGCTGGCCCAGCTGACCTGGTCAAGCAGGGGAACTGAAACACACTGCGGTAAGTCATGTATTATGCTGAGTAGAGGCCCAAGGTTATAATCTCATTAATGATACATTCTAAGTGTGTCTCCATCTTTGTATCCTCAGGACCTAGTGCAAATGCCTGGAATCTAGTAGATGTCCAGGGAAAATTTGCTCAATGAATAAACAGATTTCTTTAGAAAACATGTATTCGGTGAAAATTTTTTGAGCTTTCAAAGAATATAGCATTATTTCAATCACAGCATCTCTTTATCTTTTAGCCTTCATACTTGTTTCTAGCTCTGAAGGAATTCCTGTAGTTTTAGGAGTACCAGTTGGCCAGCCTTGCCCTAATCCCACCCTGATACTGGCCTAAACCTCTGACAATGTTGTTAAGATCACGATCAGGAAGTGAGTATTTCAGTGCAAATTTATCTCCACTAGTAGGCAAAGCACTCAGATATGTTTGCAATATTTCTGGGTACAAAGGGCATTCAGAAGACCCCGTGGTTCTACCCTGAAAAGACATCCACAATCCGACCACTTTTACCACTTCAACTAGTACCACACTCGCAGCTGTCACAAGGATTTTTGCAGTGGGCTCTGAACCGGGCGCGGCTTCCACTTCTGCCCATAGTGTCTCCTCTCACCACGGCAGCCAGAAGGGCTTGCTAGAACATAAATCAGATCGTGACCCTGCTCTGCTCCAAGTATTTTTTTCCATTGACATCCAATTGGGAAAACAGAAACCACTCCACATATTTCAAAGAGAGGGAATGTGTACTATAGAGAGTTAATCACAAAGGTTAGTGAGAGCACGAAGCCACTACCACCCTCAGGCAGGAGGAACCAGAGGGAAAAAGGAAAACCTACAATCCGAGCCACTGCGGTTGGAACTGACCTGCCTGGGCCAGCATTTCCAGCGGCTGTTGCCGCTAATGCAGCTGCCACATGGGAAAGGTTGCCAGAAACCTCGTCCTTCAAAAATAAAGACCCTTCCTCCCCGGTCTTCCAGGCCTGCCAGTACCTCCGGGGTGGGGGTTGGGGGGCAGGGTGCGGGTCGGTGGGGAGCTGAACCCAAGAGGAAGGCAGAAGGCAAGGGAGTCTGGGAAATGTAGTTTATTTTCAAGTCTCCTGCCCCAGCGGTAGGAGGAGGGTATAGAAGGAGAAGGGGTGGGGTTGACAGTAAACAGACCCCATGGAGAGCAGCATCTCACTCACAATAAAACCCAGGTTCTTACAATGACTTCCAAGGAAGGCACCCCTCCCCCAGACACATAGGCACCTTCTCTCTGACTTCTTTTCCAGCCACGCTGGATTCTTTCCTCTCTGCGAACACGCCAGGCACCGCCCCCACCCCCCCAGGGTCCAGCATCCGCCGAGTCCTCTGCCCGGGACGATCTCACCCAGACGCGTTCACAACTCGCTCCCGCGTCTCCTTTGGGCCTGTATTGAAAGGATACCTCCTCGGTGACCCCTCCTTGAAAACTAATTTAAAATCTCAACCGTTCCGACCCCCTTTATTGCTTTATTTTTCATCACAGTATTTACCCTTCTCTAACATATTATACATTTCACATATAGTTTTATCATATTGAAATGTATTTTATCTATATTACATATTTTTGGTTTTCCTTCTCTCACTACGTACATTTCTTATATCTTGTATCTTCGTCAATAAATGTGTCTGTATTTCATACTACCTTCTGGACAGACCTTGTATGTTCAGTATTCTCCCCCAACAAAATGTAAGCTCTGTTGGGGGAAAGCTTTTTGCCATTGATATAGCCCCAGTGCTCCATAAATACTTGTTGACTGAATAAATCACTTGTAAATATATTTATTATGGGATGAAACATATTAAACGCTCTTAGGGGCACAGGAGAAGGAAAAGAAACATTGCTGCATCTCTTCCTGTCCTGCCCCCACCCAGGCTACGTCAGGTGTCCCTTCTATGTGCTTGTAACACTCCCTGTAGTCCCCTCATCACAGAACTTGTCCCACTGTGTTGTCATTATGTATTTGCACTTCCGTTTCCTCCACCGAAACTGGCAGTCCCGTGAGAGAGCAGGGGTGGTGCCCATCCAGGTGCCCGTCTGGGTCACGCTGCACGCCACACACTGGGCAGGGTCATCCCTTGCGACTCGAGACAAGGCTCCAACGGTACTTGTTGTCGAATGTTCCCACCAAAAACCAGAAAAACACACTTACAGGTCTCCCAATACTATTCCTGCCTCTGATGTTCTGGAAAGATTTACGAGCCAACAGCTGTGAGGAAACATGAACAGAGTCAGCAAACAGTTAAATGCAGAAGCAGAGAGAGTGGGTTGCAGTTGTGTCGTCTGGCCAAGCAAGGAGAAGCAGCATTATCATGGCTTCGGAGAATATTTTAATCTTTTTATTAGAAGTATTTATATTCCCTGAAAAACATTCCACTGTGAGTTATTTTAAGAGCTGGATATTACCCTATAACAAACAAATCTTGAGAAAATTAAGTTATGAAAATCTAAGTAATTATCACAGAAAAAGCAATGCATCTCAATAGATAACAGATTTTACAGTTTTATTCTCAAGGGGAGTGGGTGTTAGAGTTACAAAGTTCTTTAACAAAAGCAGTTTTCTAATTTTATAACCAACGTCAAGAGGAACGGATTGTCTTTAGTACGGGGAGTCATAGACAGTAGAAAGATAATTGCTAGAGATCAGCCTTGGTTGGTTTTTCTTTTAGAGGTTCCCAGCGGATACCTAGACAATATCCAAAGTCTTTTATGAGGAGACTGTGGCTCTATCTCACACTCAAAATGGATTCATTTATTTGGTAATAATTCAGGACTGGAAGAAGTCATATCACGCACAAGTACTTAAGCACCAAATTTATCATAAAAAGCTTTGACTTGGCTTATATCCTCGATAGTTCAGAGGCACGCAGGCATGTCTTATCTCGTCTCGTCCTAGGAAGGAGGCTTGCCGTCATCTGCACGAGCATCACCCAAGCACGTCACGCAGGAGGGACTGGAGACTTTGCAGGGAAGGCCCCCGCAGCGGGCCTGTCTTCCGCACAGAGCAGCACCAGCATGTAGCTGCTGTTCTGTTTTCGAGGCCTGCCAGGGCGGTCGGGCGTCCAGCATCCCTTCCTTCTTCTGCTTAACTACAAATTCAATTTGACCAATGACGATTTGAAATGCATTATAAGCAACAAGAATTTAGTTCATCAGAAATCTGGTTTGTCTAAGTTTGCAAAATAACTCCCAACCAAAAAACAACGTCAGCCTGCTGCCTGAAGTCAATGTCTATCTGTTCGCTAGCACAAGGAGAACACTGAGCTACGTCAAGGGAGCTACAAGCACACATTCCTGGAAGGGTAATTTTAGAACCAGTTTCAAAGCCGGCTCTAATTCGAAAATGCCTCTGCCCCTTAGGCCCACATGGAGGTGTTACCAGCCTCTGAGATGTCATTGAGTAGTCAAGTGTTTATTTTTTTCTTTTTGCCAGGAGTGGAAGAGATCACAGCTGCTGTGGCTTCCTTGCTGGGAGAGGGAGAGTGGGGGCCAGTTTATTAGAAATAACTCTAGAAAGGATGTGATAAAAGCAGACATACAAAGCCCCAGGCTATTGATTGCAAATCTGGCAAGGCTGCAGGCCATTCTCATTGCAGGCAGGGCACCGCAGAGCCCGGTAGGACTCCTTGAATCTGTTGGCCAGCATCGAGAACTTGCTGCCATGGCACAGAGAGCAGGTGGCACTGCCCGACCCTCGGCAGTGAAAGCAGTTGTCATCTGGAAGCTCCCCTTCCTGCAAGAGATGGGTCAGGGTTTAGTTACAACAGCAGTTCAAGTTCATTGATCGCATGCAGGTCAAAAGAGCACTGGGCTGCTGCAAAGGCTATGGCAAAATAGGAGGAAAATGTTTCCCACAGATGGCAAGGAGGGAACTGGCCAGAGGCTCAGAATAATCACAACAATTTCATCAAAGTGGGTTTCCCTGGTGGACACCTCTAGGAGACCATCCCCTGCTACCATGCCTTTCATTTGTGACTGCACATTCTTCAATGCCCTTGTCGCCATGGGGGCAAAGACTTAGCTTTTCTCATTGCCAATACCAAGAGTGAACACTTGTAGCCTGCCTAGTAGGTGCCAGGCGCTGTTCTAAGAGCTTTCTTTCGTATATCAACCCATCTACTGCCCACTGCATCCCATGAGATAATACAAGGATTATCATCCCTATGCTACAGATGGGAAAATGAGACCCTGAGAAGTTCTGTTACTTGCCAGTTGTCACTCAGTGTGGCAGAAAAAGAGGCAGGTTTGCTCTGAGGCAGTCAAGCACCAGAGTTCATGCTCCTGTGATTTCATACACAGCCCCTCGTTGTAGGTGTCCAAAGTAGGTGCTCAAGAAAGACTGTTTTGTGTGACTGAGAGACCAAATGGATGAATGAGTCAATGCTACAACCTGTGGGAGCTGAGCTCTGAATTCTTGAAATACTTTATCTTTGTTCTCTTTGAGAACTGTGATGAGGCCCCAGGATGATGGACATCATCAGTGTCCTCTGACATCAATTCCGCACCCTGGGCAGTTCCCCTCACCTCTCTAAATCTCCATTTCTTTACCTATAAAATGAGAGCCATGAGGCTTATCTCTGAGTAGCTGCAATAATAGATGGGAGAGTATCTGAAAATATCATATTATCTGGCATAGTAGGGGATCCACATAAGAATTAGTTCACTTTGAAGCCTTGCTAATATGTTTCCAGTCCTCTGCTCCAACCCTCTGAAAAATGCCTTGTCTACTGTCATGCTCTCCCCAAGTCATCTCACGAAAATTGGCCATCTTTGCACTCCTGTGTAGAGACCACGCAGAGACCTGTGACCTTCCAAGAAATAAGGAACGCTACTAGCTCTATACCAGGTGGATCAAGCACCAGGTCTTGTCCATTTCATCTTCAAATCCATCCCTTTTCTCCGCCCCACAGCCACAGCCCTAGCCTGGACACCCACCAACACTGGCAGGAACTGAGTGTGGATGCCTGCCTCTGGTTCTGTGGGCTGTCCTCCCCACCGACACCCATGTCATTAAGTGGCCTGCAGCTGTGATTGCCTCTCAAGAAACCTTTTAATGAACACGTGCCTTCCAGATAAACTTCAGATCAACACCTGGTCCCCTCAGCTGCTTTAAATGTTTAGTCACATCTTTCCTCAGGCTCTTAGCTCTCCCTCCAGCTGGGATCCAGGGACCTTTCCCTCCTCCCCACCCAGCCAAATGCTACGGTTCTCAAGTATTCAGGAGCTTTGCCCACCCACAGGCCTGGACCAGGAGTCCCACCCGCCTGTACTGCCCCCTGCAGGGCTGTCTCTGGCTCTACCGAAAGCTCCTGCTGACTAGACAAGGGAGCTCTTGGAGTTGGCCGGTCTCACAGCCGGTCCCTGGATATCCAGTGCAGTGCCAGGGAAATATTTGCTGTTCACATATTTGCAAAAAGAATAAACAAAGAAAGCAATGATGTCTAGAGAACACTTTCTATTCTTAAATTCTAGGAAATACCAACGCAGCCAGAATCCACTGGGTGGCTCAACCCCGCTAACACCGCTTTCTTTTATAACCTCATAATAAAAATAATCTTCGAAAAGGGAGGCATTAGTTTTGAAAATAGCTCCATTGTGCTGTACAGTGCTTAAAATGGTGTTAAATTTTATTCATTCTAGATTTAGGAAATGGAAGTGATTATCCAACCAGCAAAAACCTAAATCCTGTCTCTGCACCCTTTTGTTAAGATTTTATTGATTGTTGCCATACTCTCATGTATTAACAATGGAGGAATTTGTTTTCTTCTCTTAAAGTATTCAAAAGAAATACATTTGCCAAAATGTTCTTAAAGCAAATTGCCACAGACCATTTATCTGCCAAATCTACGCTTTATACTTGATCCCAGTGAGATTTTAATGCTACAAGTTGATGTTGTCAAAGAAAGTACAGAAGAATCACAACATAATGCTACACATGTGATCTGAAAATTAGTTTGTATAGAATGTTAGGTGAGATATTGAAAGATTAATAAAATGACCAGGTAAACCTGCTATAGAGAATAAAACCAAATCATTAATCAAATTTTACCTGATGTGTTGTTGGAGATTTTGCTAGCGTTTCTGTTCTTACCTTGGGTCACCACCCTTCTCCAACCACTCACCCTCAACATGCTCATTTAATTATTTAATGATTCATTAAATCAAGTATTCACTGAGCCGCCACTCTATACAAGGCATGCAGGATAGAAGCATTGGTCTTCCATTCTCATTACGTTTTAAATTCTTCTCAGAAACCATTCAGTAACAGGACTTAGGACATAGTTGTACAGCATAGCTTAGGTTCTAGAGCCAACAAACCTCCACAAATCACCTCCTACTGGCTCCACCTCCTACTGGTCCCTCGTGAGGGACCTTGGCTTTCATTACAGACCCAAAGGCTGGAGTAGCCCTAAAGATGGTAACCAGCACCAATGTGGAGGCCACTTAGCAAAGTGGTCAGCACCATGAGATGGGCAGTCAGGTGGACCTGAGTTTGACAACTGGCTCTGATGACCTCTGGCAAGTTCCTTAACTTCCCTGAACCTTAGTTTCCCCAGGCACGGAAGGAGACCACTGATAGTGTCCACCTCACAGAGTCTTTGCAAGCATGAAATGGACTATGGCACGGAAAGCATAGGACATGGTGCCTGGCTATTGTGGGCCCTCAGTAGGTGGTAGCCATCATTACCGGTGTTTATTTTTTATTGCTGTTATTTCAAAGGCAAGAGCACATAAAGCATAAAGGAGCCCAGATGATATATGGTCTCAAATCCACTGAACACAGGGGAGGGTCTTGCCCCTTCCACGTTTCACGGGGGCTCGATTCAGTCCTCCCTCTCCTTTTCTTGCATAGTCGTCACAGAGGCTAAGCATGGCCTGGCTCTCAGCCTCACCCCACCTCTTCATCAAGGTCCCTGCTGCGACCCCGTCCCACATAACATATCAGGGAGCCTCCCGGTCAGAAGGGGCTCCTTGGTGTTCTCTGACCCTCTTTTCCAGAAGAAGCTTGCCTGGACATTTACTGCAGGAGGGAGTGGGCAAATAAATAGCAATTTAAAACAGGGTCTAAAGGACAGGCAAGTGAAGTATCACCTTTCACAGGAATTTTCTGCTGCACACCCCTGCCCTGGTTTGTGGCACTACAGCTAAAAAAGAGGGCTCTCTCCAAACGGAATTTAAAGGTGATTGTCCTATCAGGCCCGTTGTTGCTTTTCCATTCAGGGCTGCCGTGCGATCTGTACTTTAGCATTTCTGGCTCTTTTTTGAAAATCAATGCTCCTGCCAGCTATAACGTGCTGAGAAAAGGGACCGAGTGAGTGAACGTTAATGTGGGGAGGGAGCACTTGCAGGACGGTGTTGTCTGCCGGCTGCCGCACTGCGTTCTGGATAGTGCTGTCTAGGGCAGGCAGGGGCGGAACCCTTCCGACCAGCTGGCACTGGGGTCCCAAACTCCTTCTTTCCACAAACACTTAATATTCACTGAGCACCTATTACATGCCAGGATCTGGTTTGGGAGCCAATGGAACTACTGTCTTACACCCAACATAAACATGGCCCCTGCCCTCACGGACACTAAATCTTATGCGGGGAGAACAAACATTGACCAAATAATTGTACAAATAAATACAAGACTACGACTGTGAGGAGGGATGGGGAGTACCCTGAGGGGTCCCTCCTTGGGAATTTTATCCTTGTGTAAGTCGGGGGAAGCTCCTCTGAGGAAGTGACACCTCCTCAGAGACCTAAGAGGCTGAAGGGCAGGAAGCACTGAATCTGCAGGACCTTCCAGGCACAGGGAAGTTGCCTCTGGTGAGAAAGAGCCAAGAGCACGTGAGGGGCAGCTAGACAGGCTGTGCACCTGGGGCCGAGAGACTGAGGAGAGATGTGGAAGAGATGAGGCTGAAGAGGCCAAGAGCGGCAGGCTACACAGTGTTTTCGAGAATAAGTGAGGTGTTTTGGTTTTAGCCCAAGAGAAGAGAGGCCAGTGAAAGATTTTGGTGGGGAGAAGGGAGATGAAGGGATGACACAGATTTGCATTTCAAAAATATCTTATCAAGCGTGAGAGCCAGTCAGAAGGAGATGTGAGTGGCTGGGAGCAGAAATTTTAACAAGAGTCTTTCGTGGGAGTCTGGTCATGACCCTCTTGTTCCTGTCCCCTGAACCCTCCCAGGGTGGGACATCACTCTAGTGCAAGGAAGCCCTTAGCCCAGGTTGTCACATGAAAAAAAGGGAGGTGATGGTGTGCCCCACAGAAAGCTTCAAGTCCCAAAAGATGGAATCTAAAGAGAAAAAAAATCCACTTCTGCTGCTATCCAAGCTTTACTCTTAGTTTAATTTCATCACAATTGCTTTTCCCACCCCCAAACCCGCACTGTGAACTAACAAATATTATCAGTCTCCCCCTCCTCTGAGCATGCCCGAGGAATGGTTTCCAAGGGGGAGAGTGTGTGCAGAGAAAAACATTTGAACTATTTATATTTTTATCTAAAGAAAGCAAGAAATTAAGCTTTAATAATACTTTCAAAAGAAATTGCCATACTAATTTTTAATAAACTAGTTGACACTGGCACCTTCAGTAGGACTGGCAGTCACTAGAAAAATGTAGCCAAGGGACCCTGGAATAAGCATGATGTACCCTGGCTGGTGTGGCTCAGTGGACTGAGTGGCGGCCTGCAAACAAAAAGGTGGCTGGTTCAGTTCCATTCAGGGCACATGCCTGGGTTGTGGGCCAGGTCCCCTAGTCGGGAGCACATGAGAGGCAACCAATGTTTCTCTACCTCTCTTTCTCCCTCCCTTCCCCTCTGTCTGAAAAGAAACAAATAACATCTTTTTTAAAAAAGCATGAAGTAAAGTGACCCCACTTCACGTAAAGCAACAATGGTGTCCTGGCTCATTCATTCATTTTCAGCATGTTGCAACATTTTGCAGTTTACTTGTGCCCGGTCCCCTGGATTTACAAATGATACCGCTTAGTTTAACTAAACTCATCTCTACAAACTCTAAAGACTCACAACTTTACTAGATTTCTTCAAGGAAACTGTGGATTGAGGATAACACCAATACCAGAAGCACCAGCAAAGCCCTAGGAAAGGACAGAGCTATTTTTTCCACCTCTACAGCAGGATGCTCCCATCTCTAAGCCACACTGCAAAGTAAAAACAATAGATACCTAGTTAGATCTCAAAGAAGTCATTTAAAAATTAAAATTAGGAGTGTTTGAAATATGGACTTATAACTATGATAGCTAACAGTGTACCATTAAAATATAATAAAAGCATAGCATCTTGCATATTTAGACATGGTAAGTAGTCACATTGGAAGGTTTTTACGTGAGTAGTGCACAACCAGGACAACCTGGAGGCCACTGCAGCCCGGCCGCTCCAAGTGGGACAGCGCACCACTCGGACGCACCTGTGGGTACTGGTTGAGGGGGAACGCGCTTTCTGTCTCTGCCAGAGGCCCATTGTTCTGGTCGCTGTTTCCATAGATTTCTTCTTTGCTCATCAGAGACTCTTCCTCAACCTCTCCTTCCTTCTGGAGAATCTTCCTCATGAAGTCTCTCTTGTCCATGGGGGTTCGAATGATTTTCAGGTTATTCGTGTAGATGATTATCTTTCCAAAATCTATAATAGGTGGGGACTAGAGAAATGGAGAATGAGCATGGAATCTCCACCAACAATCACCAAATAAATACAGGGCTGCAGAACCTGTTCTCCATCCCAGGAAACGGGAGAGAAAGAACTCCTGCTCCCCGGCCCTTGTGATGCCATTGGGCCCCAACGCGCTACCGTTCATTTCCCGTTTGTTTGCTTCCTCTGAAAACCAGGACAGCCTTCTCCCTCCTCCTGCTGATGGTGACCGAGCAAAGCTGAGCTGGTCATACAACTAGAGTGTGAGGCTCTGCCGGGCAGAGTCCAGAGTGCATATTTCAGCCACGTCCCACAGCAGCTGATGCAGGGCCAGGCACAAGGAGTGCGTAATGAATTCAAAGGAGTGCTCTTCTTAAAACAAATACCAGTCCAGACTTTTTCTGTGTATAAATAATAGCAATACTGGATACAATTTATTGAGTTGTCATTATTATTATTACTATTATTGTCTCAGGCATTATGTTAAGCATTTTATGAGCATTACCTTGCTTCTCCCCTGAACATCCCCATGAGGTAGATGCTATGATTTCCACATTCTACAGATGGAGAGACCAGGTCTCAGTGGGGTGAAGTGCCTCTCGAGGTTACAAAGTTACTCAGAGTCTGTAGCTGGGATTCGAACCCAACTCTGTCTCACTCTGAAGTCCATATTCTTAGCACCCATACTAAACTATTCACAAGCACTCCCTCCAATATAAGATCATTATATTTATTTACATATAAATATATATGATATATTTTGTTAATATATATTATTAACTTGTAACTTGTTTTTGTCATTTATCTATGAAAATCTCATGTCCACAGATATACTTCGGTAGCATCATTGCATAGCTTATGTGCCCTTGCATGGATTTCTCCGCATTCCTTAACCATTTGCTGAGGAATAATTTGGACACCACTGCAATGCAGTAGCGAAGCCTGAGAGTCAATGTTCAGGGATTACTCAACCAAGAAGGCACATCCCTTCCCAGAGCTGGGAGAGCTCACAGGAAAACCACGCGGGATCCCGATTCCCCTGCTCACCAATGGTGAGACATAGGGGAGCCAGTTGGCCTCTCAGAACCTCAGTTTGCTCCCCTGTAAATGGGCTGCCATCTATCTCATATGCATTAACTACCACAAACTAATTATTAAAACACAGAAATACCTCTATACTGGGTGGTAAACAGGTGCCGTCCTGAGACTCCTGGGTGCTCTCCTGGTCCCCCAGCCTGTCTTTAGGGAGCCTCCAACACCCCAAAAACAGTGATGTAAAAGTTAAGACTTAGGGCCCCAGATGTTAGGACCCTGCCCCAACACAGCTGGCTTCTGGGGCAATGGAGCAATTAATATTTTGACTCTCATCCCTGTGGCTCCTTCTATTATATTCCAGGTGTGGAGGTGCTATGAAGAATATATAAAGCCAGGTTTGCAAAAGCTGAAAATACCATGCAAAGGGTAGGCATTGTTACTGCTATTATTATTCAAAACTGGTCTTTTAGTAGTTGGGGCATGCCCCATCAGGCTACACAACCACATGCTTCCACATGAAATATTCTGCCCTGGTTTTATAGACCCGTATCAACCAATCTAGTGAGACCCTGCACGTAAGCAGTCTCAGCCTGGCTGGAGTGGGACTGCAATGCTCCGGTCCCTTTCCTTGAAACATCCATGGAGTTTCAACAATTATTTATGAAGCCACAAGCTTCCTGCCTGGCCCTGGTTTCCCTCCCTCTCTTCTGGGGATCATGTGGCAGCTCCCATTTCCTGCAGTCTGATGCGTGCTGGGTTCCGGTGTCACACTCCGGACTATCAGTTTCTGAGCAGCAGAAGATAAAGATGGTGGCACTTTTGGAAGGTTCCATTTCCACTCCCACAGCTGAAGAGGTTCAGTTACTAGGGAGCTTTTTTTCGCCTCTATAGCTGGTTTCTTTTTTTTTCAAGTCAAAAAATGTCAATAAACTTTAAAAAGTCTGCAGTCATCTCATTCAACCTCCTACCTTTCAGTATCTGAGATGCCCAGGAGAGTACAGTAAATTTATTTTTAATGTATTCCAAAGAGGGATGGTCCCAAATCACCCTTCAGGTGTGTTTAAGTTTCAGTCACCCTGACAGCCAAGTTCTTCCCTGTGTCTAAGGAAACTCTCTGGGTGTAACTAAACTTCACCTTATCTGGTTACAGGCTACTGCCTGAGAGGGACACCCTCTCTTACATTATAGAGGGCCAGGATGGAGCCAGGAATTTTCTGTTTCCTTCCATAGTGCCCGGAATGGTAACCTATGGGATTGAGCTTCATAAATACCCTGAAGTCAGTGGCAACGTGCCAAGATTGCTCTCCAGTCACCCTGACACCCTTCCACTGCTCTGCCTCAAAGCAGAAACACCTTAGTGGGTACTAGAAACTCAGTGGGCTTTGGAAGCAGGCAGACCTGAGCTCAAGTTTTATTCAGATGTTCTTTGACAGTTCTGTGAGATTTGCAAGTTACCGAACCCGTATGAATTTCTGTTTTTCCAATTTGTAAAATTCTTTCTTATAGAAGTATTGTAAAGGTAGATTTACATATTTGGTATAAAGTGGCTGTTCAGTAAATATTACTCTCTTCCTTTCCCTTCCATTTTTCAGAAAACTTATAAACTTCAGTCAGTCCCAACCCATTAAAATATTTTATTGGGAATAACCACTTTCTCTACCCATCGCATAAAAATTTTAAAAGACTCAATATTTCTTTCATAAGAACCTGGTCGTTTTCACAATGGTAGGGGATACTTTCTGAGCATGTGCAAGGTGGCAGACACACTGCTAAGTGCCTCTCGTGTGGTTCCCCTTTCTCATCACCACAACAATCTTTGTTAGCAGGCACTTTGCTGCCCTCACATCACAGACTGTGACATTGTGACAGGGAAGCTCACAGCAAGGCTAAGTGGCTGCGAACGCCCCCACGGTGACTAGGTGGAAGGGACAGAGCCCAGATTTAACTGACATCAGAGCCCTTGTTTTAAAACATGTATATATATATATATATATATATATATATATATATATATATATATATATATAATTTCTAATGAAACAAACTCTTCAGAGAAAGACAAATAGCATATGATCTCACTTACATGTGGAATCGAATGCACAAAACAAACTGATGGACAAAGCAGAAACAGAGGCATGGACACAGGGAACAGACGGCCAGCTGTCAGAGGGGAGGGAGCTGGGGGACTGGATGGAAGAAGGTGAAAGGATGAACCAAAGAATGTACATGCATGACCCATGGACACAGGTGACAGGGTGGTGATGGCCAGAGGGAAGGCGAGGTGGGGGATGGATGGAGGTGGGCAATGGGGTGGGGAGGAAATGCGGACATCCATAATAGTATCAACAATAAAGTAAAAAATATGTATATATTATTTTTAATATGGTAAATATACATTACATAAAATTTACCATTTTAACCATTTCCAAGTATATAGCTCACTGGCATTAAGTACTTCCACATTGTTGTATAACTATCACCATCATTAATCTCCAGAACTTTTTCCTATTCCCAAACTGCAACTCGGTGCCCTTAAACAGTAACACCCCCTTCTCCTCTTTCCCAGCCCCTAGCAACCACCTTCTACTTTCTGTCTCTATAAATCTGACTACTCACATAAGTGAAATGACACAATTGTCCGTTTGTGACTTATTTCACTTAGCATAATGCCTTCTGATTTCATCCATGTTGCAGCATTTGTCAAAAGTTTCTTCCTTTTTAAGACTGAATAACGTTCCATCTTGTGTATATACAACATTGTGTTTGTCCATTCATCCACTGATGGACACTGATGGTCGTTTTCACCTTTGTGCAATTGTGAATAAAGCTGCTATAAACCTAGATATGCAGATATCTGTTCAAGGTCAAAGCCTGTACTTTCAATTGTGCTTAACTGCTATGTGCTGTTGCCTCATAGCCAATATTTACTAGGGGTTATTTTACAGTTGGATTCACTATTGAAAAATCATGACTTCCCAGCTCTCATTTCTTTATTTTTCATGAATACCACATTGATGGCCTATTTCAGTGGGTGCAGGTACGTGAATCCATCCTGACTGGTCTCATATCTAGAGGCTGGCTGGATTGGGACGTGGCATTAGATCGGACAGCAAAGAAAACAAGGATAACTGGACCAGGCAGGAATCTAACCCTGAACGTGGCCTCTAGAGTCTAGTGTTTCAATCAGCTGTGCCATGCTGCCATGAAGACTCAGTTTTCTGTTTGCATAAATCCATGCCTCATCATGCCTTTACATGAATGTCAAGGTTGACATATTCACTGATGAAGGTCTAGCAGTCCTATGTTATCTACTGTAGCCTTGTACAAGGTATTGTATAAACTACAACTTTGTAAATTCTAAATCTACAAATAAGATTTAGGTCAAAAGAGATACTGTAAGAACAAGACGGCTGAGTACCTAGGACATAAAAAGCACTCAGTACATGGTAACTATTACTATTATCATCAATATTATTAGTAGTGATTTTATGCTCTAAAGAGGAATATTCCATAGGGCAAATAGCATGGAGAATCAGAGACCTGGGACCTTATTCTGACTCTGCACCAACGACCCTGCAATAGTGGATGAGTCCCTTAACAACCTGGGTCTCAGTGCTACTCAGCTGCAAAATGGGAATGGCCATACTTGGCCTTTCTCCTCAAGTCCATGGTGAAGACCCAAAGAGACAGTATGTGACAGTGCTTTGCGATGAATAAGCCATTCCAGTAAAGTGAGGGGCTGTTCCTTCCAGCCCCCTTTAATACCAAAAAAACTGACATTATCTTTGATAAATATGGACATGCCCATAATTATACTTTTATCAACGCTAGGGAGTCCAATACATTTGCCTGCTATAAATGTATTATTTGTTGCCTTAGAAAACTACCAGTAAAAATGATCACAGAGTAATTGCCAGAATTTCACACTTTAAAGATGAGTATAAATCCTTGTGTGCTATTCAGGGGTAACCTGGTATGTTACATAATTGTAGTTAATCTTAAAAAAAAATCATGCACAGTCCCACTGACAGAGATTATATACACATCTCCTCTTATATTCTGGAAGTCAGTGACTACTTTTCCAGGTTCTTCCAACTAAAAAAAAAAAATCATGTATGGGCTTTTGATTATTTGTGGTACTGGAAAAGATCATTGAAATTCACAAATAAAATACATGTTTCAAATGAACTCGTGGCTCCAACTTCTTCCCCATCTAACACTTCCTCTGAGTAATTTGCTTTTCACCACCTCTTCCCAGGGCTCCACCTGCCCAGTGTTCATGCTAATGAGCAATGCAAAGGCAAAATAAATAAACTGACAGACATTTATTAAGGCAGGCAGCAAGTGGGAGATTGGGGGTGGGGGGGGGGGAAGACATGGATTAACCACAAGGGGAATAATTGCCGGGGGTACAATGAGCACCTTCGAACACTTAGCTCTTTTGGGAACAAGTCAGCCCATTGCTGCACAAGTTTCTAAAACGGCAGCCGGGTGACCTGAAAACCACTGCACCACTATTTAATTTACTTACTGAGATAACCCCACCAAAGACCCAGTGACAATTTTGCATCCTGGATGGAATTTGAACACTATCTATGCTTATTGCACTTTCCAATAAGTGGTCACCAAGCATGTTATTTTTGTCCCAAGAAATATTATTCTAAGAGTGACTTCCGTGTAGTGCGCCTACAGCCCTCGTGGGTACCGGAACGTGAGCATAATACAAAATTGAAACGTTCAGGTGTTTCTCTAAACGCACTTTAGTCTTTAAAGATTATACACCACGCACAATACCAACCTTATGGTCATTTGCCTTGTAATCGTTGAAGAAAGGCTGGCTGCCGGCCAGAGTGTAGGCATTGCCCTCTCTAAACACGCTGATCCTTTGAGCAGTCAGCTTGGGGGAGTATGGCCGGGGCTTGGGGGCTTCCCCAGACCCGTAAACACCATCCATTGGCTCAAGGGACTCTTGGAGAAAACTGTGAGGATACTCCTCCTTTGGCGATTCTAATTCCTGCCCATCCTCAAAGACCTGCTTCAACACGCGGCCGCTGTAGGAGGAGGAGATCTTAAATCGTACTTTCCGGGGTTTGCCGTCACTCTTCTGGTTCAGCTTCTTCTCGGGGTCCTCCATCAGCAGAAACTTCCCTCTGCGGTTTCCGGGCTCCAGTGCAGCCAGTGCAACCTGGAGCTCTGAGAAAAAGGCGCTTTATTTTCCCTCCTCCTGCATATGATTAATTCAAATTGCTGCTGGGACGTGCTCAGTTTACCGCAACTGACACCCACACGTTAAATATTGATAGACCCGCATGCAAAGGCAAGCCACTGTGGGTTTATGGAGCGCAGTGGCCATGAGACAGAAGTGGGTCCCTTCTGCATCCCAGACTCACCCAGAACTTCACCCCAGCCCCGGATTTTCTTAACCCGAGTAGGTTTACGTACACTGAACAAGTACTAGTTTCAGTAAGGACTGGTTACTCAATCAGTCAGCAAATGTCTTGTTATTCTTACTGAAAACTATGACCTAATAAGCATTTACTAAGAGCCAGAGATTTTTGCACGCATTACCTTACTTTGTCCTCACAATAACCCTACACTGAAAGTCTTATTGACCCTGATTTACAGAATGGAAAGTGAGACCTGGAGCAGTTTTGCCCATTCATCTACTGTAGTGTAGCTAAGGGAGTAACAGGGCAGGGATTCAAACTCATTCTCTGTGACTCCAAAACCCATGACCAACCCACCGGTTTTCAAACTGTGTCCCATGGAATCCTACAAAAGAGGAAGCTGTAGGTCCTAGACTCTGGGCCTTCAGCCCCTGTGTTAACCACAGCAGTTCCATTTGATATCAGTATTATATAGGGAGTTTATTGCATGTCAATTATACTTCAATAAAAATCTTTCTTTGTAAAAGACAAAAAAAAAAGATTCATTTGCAAGCACTGCGCTACACCCCACTGCCTATTATAGACAGCACCTAGGAAATGCCGACACTGTGAGACAGTCCCTGGGATGAATGTCAGAGAAGCATGACACATGGGGCTTGAGAATGACAGTCCTGCAGTCTGGTTTAGGAAACAGCCCTAACACACATGAAATAGCTGAGGAAGCAAAGTGTCCCCCGCCGACTCCCAGAATAGCTATTCTGGGAAGAAAGCTGTCCCTGAGGGGACAAGGATGGAAGAAGAAGGCTTGTAAAGGCAAGGGCCCTTGGCTTGGGTCTTGAAGGATGGGTTGGATGTGAAGAGCTGGGTGAGGGGCTTAAGCTTTTCACCCCGTCTTTGCTAATGACATCATCATCTACTTCATTGCCCCCGCTGACTTCTCTCCTACTCCTGCAGTGCTTCCTAGGAATCCTACCACCACTGCCTTCTCTCATCCGCCCCAGCGCCCTGGCCGAGGTCAAGCCCTCACCACTTACTTCTGTTCCCAGTTGCAGCAGTCTTCCAGTGACTGTCCTACCCATCCACACGTCTGTTCTCCACCTGGGTACCAGAGCGGTGCTCCCAAACGCAAGTCTGGGAATGTCAGTCTCCTGCAGAGAAAGTCCTAACCCTGCCTTTCAGCAGGCAAGGCTCCTCAAAACCAAACCCCACCTCCCTTTCCGACCTCATCCTCTTTGCTCTTGCAGGTGCCGCACAGACCTGGAGTGCCAGGCACACCGATGAGCTCACCTGTTTCTCAAAAACACCAGTTTCTGTCTCTCATCCAGCACTCCGTTTCCAGTTGAAATGTCCAACTCCTCCTCCCCCTTGAAGTCACAGCTCAAATAGCACTGTCTCCGGGAAGCCTTCCTACCTGCCCCAGGGAGAAAGTCGTGGAACTTTGTCCCTCCCACCCTGAAATGCTTGCTGTTTTCTTTACCTCTCCCATGGCCCCCGCCACTAAACTGGGAGCGCCTTAGAGTCAGAAGCTGCCTTGACCAATTCTCTGTTCTCCGTGTTTATCAAAGTGCCTGGTACACAGTAGAACTCAGGTAAGAATCGTTGAAAGAACGACTCCCAGGTGAGAGAAATCACATAAATAAAACTTTTGGAAGAGGAGGTAAGCCTATTTTGTGGACAACAGTGAAGAGATAGAATCAGAAAGTTGTTAAGAAAAATATGTACATTTCTACTAAGGAGGGGTTTCACAGTGATAAGCCCCCCACCGCCATGTAATCAACATAAGAAATACAGCATGTTAACCACACACACACACACACACACACACACACACACACACACAGAAACAGCATCTGTTTCAAAAGAAAGCTATGCTTATCATAACATCAAAAGACACATTCTCCTAGGTTCCCTAGGATGCAGGGCTTGCCTCAAGAAGAGTTTACAGAGGGTAGAACTTGGATCCCTCAGCGCTTACAACAGCCAGCTGGACCCAGGCTTCCCGGCAGTCACCTCCGACCACATCAGCCTTGTTCATTTGCTCCAGTGCACAGGACAAGTATCATTATTTTCAGTGTATGCTGCACCATGGAAGACACTGGGAAGCCCTAAAGAGGAGAATATTTCCTTCTATTCAGACTAGGAAGCAGGTATGAATAAATGACCAACAGCATATCTTAACCTGGAAGGATCAGTGAGCTGACTTCCACAGCTACTTGTCAAATAGGCATTTTCCATCGCCCAAGGGACGAACACCATTAACGACAGTAGCCTCTCAGAAGAGGGGACTCCAACCAGAGCCCATGCACTGATGCGTGTACACAGTCACACCTCTGCTGCCTTGAACATGGTTAAGTTAAAATTAAGTTTGAGATATCAACATAATTGAATGAAATGGGATCCTGTCTGTGGAAAAAGAAGCATTTAATTAGGTGAAGAAATCAGAAGCTGCAAACGAATTTTCTAAGTAACATTTGTTCTGTACTTTTTTAGGGCTTGTTCTATATTCACAACAGATTCTGAGCAAACCGGATCAAAATCCTGAGAAGTTTTGGAAGAATCAGGCTTACTGGATAGTTTCTAGATGTTAGTGTTTTCAGAATAGTGATAACTCAAACATTTCCAAAAGGAGAATAAAACTGAAAAATTGAAAGTGATTTTGGTAGTGCTACGAAAAGCCTTAAAAATGTTCAGATCCTTAAACCTTACTAAGAAAATAACTGCATAAATCAGAAAAAATAATGGCAAACATTAACATTGATTGTCAGTGGGTGAAAGGTTCTGAATGATTTTTTTCTTTCCCAGTTTCATTAAATTATAATTATCTATGATAAGCTTATCTAACTTGGATAATCAGGGGAAAAATAAATGAAAAATCCATTCCTTTCAACCAAATAATTTCTCTTAAGGAGATTTTTTTTCAATTCTAAGAGTTCAATTAAGGAAAAAAATTAATTCAAATTAGGCAGCACCAAACCAGGAGTGGTTAGCTAGGCGTGCTCTGCCAGCAGGAGCATGGGGAGAGACTTCCACAGAGAAAGCCGGGAAGCAAAGTAAGGACATGACTAATTGGCTACAGTTTAAAGCCTAGTTGGCTGCTCGTGGTTGGCTGTCCTTAGTATTTTGATTTTTGTAACCATGAGGCACCTATAGGCCTAGACTTGGGTTTGCCACAATAACAACGTTTAGATTTTGGGAGATCACCATGGCCTAAAAGAGCTGCATCAATGTAATGGCCTCCTTGTTTAATAAACTTAATCATCCACCTTTTGATCATCTCATATGTGAGAGATGGACCCAAATTTTTCGTACTAGTGCCCTTCTCCATCATCATCAGAGTTCAGGTGTTCTTTTCTCTTTGGGAAGCTCAGAGGGCATGATGTCAGGTCCATGGAAAAATTGTTTTTGCTGTTCAACTCATTATTTAACTTGTTGCTGTTTCTCCAAGTACAGTGAGACCCTCTAATGTACTGCTGATGGCTGCAAAATAGAAACTGCACTGAAGACCTCTGGGAGATCGCGGCATACCTGGGAGACTACAGTGATAACTATCGGGAGGATGGTGCCAAGAGACTTAAGGGTACTCCTTAGCCAGGGCCCCCCATGAACCAGGCCAGTTGGTATCAAATAAATCAAAGAATGTGCCTGACAACACATCAATCTGTTTAGCCAAGTGGTTTGTTTGTTCATTTTTGTATTTGCTACAATACCAGAAGCACTGGTCCAAGCACAGCACACAGAATTTGCTATGGCACACACTACTCCTTGTTCAGCCAACCAGCAATCTGAAGCAACTCTCTAATCAATCACTGCGGTAGTAGGAAAATCAAGGGACCTCTGTTGCACAGCTAGGGCCTAGTAGAGTCAGTGACAGTTGCCAGGGTTAAGGAACACTGTCTTCTCACACATTAACAGAGAGAAAAGCAAATAACAAAAAAGCAAAAGAAATGAAGTTTGAATATTGGAAACAAAGGTCTTAATCCATGGTCTTCAGAGAGCTGTCCACCTTGAGATGCCCTCTCCTGGGAAGGACACTCTCCAGTCAAGTTTTAAGTTAGGTCTCCAGCTGGCGTGTAGTTCCAAGAGTCGGGAGGAGCCCCTTTGAACTGGGGGATGGGACACAAGAAGTCTGGCCATCATCTGGATAGTAAGGAGGACCTGATATGGTCCCTTTCCAAGAAGGTTCAAGGCAGTCTTCATTCTTAGTGAATCCAAATCAGAAGGTGGGAGAAAATTGGAAACGTTAGTATGGAGAGTTGTAGCCACATGTTTGAGGAAACCAGGATTCAGGACCCAGTTCGATTTACAGACATAAAACAAAACCCAAAGACGATGAACAGGACTAGAATCTGATATCCACAAGATTGTGGTATAGTTGCCTATGAAACAGTTTTTTTCTCACAATCACCCCCATTTCTATCAAGGATAATCACAGGAAAACTAAATTTGTTTGCAAAATAAGTCTAGTCTCATTAAGCTTGGCTGATTATTTACATACATGCAGCAAGAATAGTGATTGACAATACAGGAGTCTCTGAAATCTGTTTTGCTGGAACTTTTCATAAGGAATCTTAGGTTAGACTTCTAAAAGCCTCTCCAGACTAGGAAACCAAGCCAAGAATTCAACCTAAGACTTCTCCAGGAATACAGATTTGGGTGAATTCCTCTCTTCTTGAGGGTATCCTGAGGTTCCTGGATCTGCCTTCTTTACTGATCTGAAGCTACCAAGACTCTTACAGGCAAGGGGTCA